TATCGTGTCTAGTGTTACAACCGTTACCTAGTTAACAATCTATCATGTCTGGTGTTACAACAGTTACTGGTCTCTATCGTGTCTGGCGTTACAACAGTTACATGATTCAGCATCTATCGTGTCTAGTGTTACAACCGTTAGGTGGTTCACCATCTATCGTGTCTGGCGTTACAACAGTTACATGATTCACCATCTGTCGTGTCTAGCGTTACAACCGTTACCTGGTTCACCATCTATCGTGTCTAGTGTTACAACCGTTACCTGGTTCACCACCTATCTTGTCTAGTGTTACAACTGTTACCTGGTTCACCATCTATCGTGTCTAGCGTTGCAGCCGTTACCTGGTTCACCATCTATAGTGGCTCGGGTTGCAGCCGTTACCTTGTTCAATGTTCTCCCACATGATCATCACCCAGTCGTCTCTGAAGGTGCTTTGCTGATGGTAGAAGCCCACGGCGTGTAGGAATTCGTGGATGATGCTGCTTTATCACTGGATGCAGCTGGATGTGAGCATTAACCTCTTATTGCCTCTTATTGCCTCTTATCTGATTGCCACCGATTCTTCCGACATACGATGAACACCTATATAGTGAGATAGAGCATTCACTGTGCATGTATCGCATGCGCAGCCGCCCATACGCGCGCATGCACGCACGCATGCACGCATACTATACGCACGAGCACATGAACGTACACACAAACGGGCGCGCATACGTGTACTACAAGCCAGCGCAACAACATACACCCACATGCGCTCACGCATGCACACATATCCACGTAAACACGTACACGCGATAATAAATTAAATGCACGGCCGTATATGACATTAATTAATTATAAGTGCCCAATGAGGAACTATAAGAACCTAAGATGACTATATCGATGATGATGATGATGATGTGTGTGTGTGTGTGTGTGTGCGTGCGTGCGTGCGTGCGTGCGTGCGTGTGCGTGTCTGTGTGCGTGCGTGCCTGCGTGTGCTCACGGGTGACACCCGCTAATAGAGTATTTCACGTCGATGTAGTCTCTAACACCGTTCGTAGACGTGATCCCCTTCAAGGCGACACACTTCGAATGAGTCCCGTACTCGTTTGCGCCTCTCACAATCGTGTGTATTTCAGCTTCACGATCAGCTGTGTAACGACTGACAAGCAAATTACTTGTACAGTGATTCCTGCTTTTTATCGGGCGCGGGTAAAAAGGCGGTTCATTTAAACGACATGTCTTTGAAAAACAATCCCTACTCGCATTGTTATGAGCTCACCGGTTAATCGGTACGTTTTCATGGTAACCCACTTAGTCCCGATAAAGCGGGGACAGCTGTATTCGGTGAAAACGAACCTGGCGGCTGTTGCCAGAAACATCATATGCTCATCAGTAGCTCTGACATCACAAGTCTGAAATGTGATAACCTTCGAAGTGAAAAGTCATTTTAGAGCTATGACAGTCCATGACAGTCCATGACAGCTATGACAGCTATGACAGCTATGACAGCTATGACAGCTATGACAGCTATGACAGCTATGACAGCTATGACAGCTATGACAGCTATGACAG